TAAAACCTAAAACCCTAAAAACCCTAAAAACCCTAAAACCCTAAAACCTAAAAAACCCTAAAAACCCTAAACCCTAAAAACCCTAATAACCCTAATAATAAAACTCGTGAGTATATACTTAGTCAAGTATTTTACTAAATCTTTATCTTACAAGTTCATGTAAAGATATCAAGTCTTTATGGTCTGGTATATAAAAAGAACATGTCTCCCTTGAGAATTTTTAAAGTAGTTCTAAGCAATATTCAGTTTACACAGCCCTATTTATAATAATTCTTTGATCTTGAGAGTCGCCCTCCACCACAGCTCCATAGATATCAAGTAAGTTGATGATTTCGGTTATGTGTATTGTATCATGCTCAGAGTGAATTGTTCCGGGACTTGGTTCAATATCATTATTGGTGTAATCTAAGAATAGACACGTGTCATCCTTTAATATTAGACCGGCTGCATTTAGATCTTTGAGTTGCCGTGGACTTCGGGGTCCTGCTGCTGGAATTTAATGCTCCTAAAGTACAGCTTCATTCTTGTATTCCTTACAAATTGCGAGTGGAGTATACTCATAGATATCATGCATATTACAGGTTGCTCCAGTCTCTAGTAGAGATTTGACAGTCTCAATTTATCCAGACTGACAGGCATAATAGAGAGCAGTCTGACTGTCTGTATCCTGTCTGTTCATGAAGTCCAGATGGGTCTTTTCAGAAAGGCCCGCGACTCGAGACAGTAGCATGTTGATGATACCTGACTGATATGCACGCGCTGTAAAATGAAGGGCTGTCATTTCTTCAGATGTAGTCGCGTGAATATCGGCGCCACTGTTAAGCAGCTTATAAATATAAGCTTCGGATATGATAGCAGCAAGATGTAGTGGCTGGATACTTTTATTATCACTGATGGTCAGAGTCTCGGACTGTTGTAGAACATAATTAAAAATGCTGTATAGTCTTCCTCTATCTTAATCTGCTTAAAAGTCATTTCTGGAACAGATAATATACAGCACAGTCTGATCTTGGTGATTGCAAGCATTAATATTCATACTAAAGTGAATTAGTCACGTCAATACCTCCTGCTTCCGGCTCAAAAAGGTATCAGCGGCAGCTTTATAAAGCAGTATATTACTACCTCTGTCTGATACGGAGGGGTCAACGCCGAGGCTGTAAAGACAGTTAAGATAGTCCAGACTGTACAGGGTGGAATGCCACAGAGTATGACCTTTATAATCACGTGTATCAAGACATGCACCATGCCTGGGGAAGAGATCTAGAATTATTATACTACCGGCTATTGCTCTTTTTGAGAATAATTGGGCAGAAAGAACTGTTTAATCTTTATTATTTCTGATTTCAAGGTCTGTACCAGCTGACAGCAGAATTTGAATTATCTCGTCATCGCGGCTTCGTGTCTGATTCATGATTATTTCATGCAACGGGGTATTGCTTACTTTATTTCTTAAATTAGGGTCTGTGCCTGCGGTCAGCAATGCTTTTATCAGTTCAAGGCTGGGAGAAGAGTGCTTCAGGGCGATATATAATAGCCTGTCTTTCTTATAATCAGCAGCATTAACATCAGGTTTATGAGCTAGAAACTTAATTACTGTCACAGTTTAGCTTATCTAGTTTCTAATATGACAGAGTAATGGCGTCCTTCCATTCTTTATCCTGGGTATATTAAGATTGATATTTCTTCTTTCAAGGAGCACTGTCAATGCTTAGTCTCCGAATAATAATAGATTGAGATGGAGAACAGTGTCTCCAGTATTATCCTGAAGGGCAGGATTAGCGCCCGCATCCAGCAGGGCTTTTGTTAAGTTAGCAGATCACGGGAATATGTAGTGTAAAGTAGTTAAACCAGTCGCAGTTCTTGTATAGATATCAGCACCAGTATTAAGAAGAGCCTTGACACAGTCAGTTAATTATGTAAAGGCTGAGACTCATATCCCATGACCAGGCTGGCTGTATAAAGTATGCAGCGCCGTGTATCCTCTTTGATCTGGAGAATCAGACCATGTTCTTTACAAGTTAATTGCAGGGGCGTGATGCTTGCCTTTTATTGGAATATGTCTAATCGCGTCTTGGCAGAGGATACTTGGGTCAGCGCCAGCCTCAATCAATAACTCAATTGTCTCAAGACTCTTGGACTGGCATGCTGTACAGAGCGCTGTGTGATCTTGTATCTTCGCGTTGACATTAATCCCTGGCTGCTGTAAGATCAGATTAATAATACTTGCTTGATCTTTCTCAGATATCTAATACAACGCTTGCTGTAGGTCATCTACAGTCCCTAACTTCGGGACGAATTCAATCATTGTTATAAGTAGCTGGTATAGTATATATATATATTACGGGGTATCGCCCTTGTTACTTTTCCTTGGTGTATTTATAATATATTCTACTATAGGAGTGTTTTCTCTTGTTTTCAGCGTCAATAGACTGACCCCAGCAGCGAGTAAAGTCTGTACAGCATCCATATGGTTTACTTTAGCAGCAACATGCATTAGCTTAAGACCTTCAGCTAATTCAATATCAAGGTCTGCTCCATGATTAATGAGCACCTGGATAACATTGCCGTGATTACATGATGCTGTCTAATATATGGACAAACTTAGTGAGTCACTGCTCACGCCTCTGCCAGTGGATAGAAGATGGTGTGCTAATTAAGCCAGACCTGTTTTAACAGTAATATAAAGGAGTGTAATGCCCTCGACAGCGGTTATTAGCCAGGTTAAGTATAGCCATACATCGTATCAATACGTATCCGCAAAAAGAGATTCAAGTGTATTATAAAATACTCCTGGATTCTCTCCTGCTACTTCCATATAGTGGGTATGCATGTACCAGTTTATTGAGGCGTACTCCATGAACGGAAACTGTAATTGTAGTTGATATATACTTTCCTGCTTTGCTGTACTGAATCCAAGGGCGCTTTGTCTCAGTAGAGACTCAGGCATCTCTAGATTGTCGAGACACCCTGCATGTAGATAGTCTATACATGCTGTAGCAAGGCACAAGTTAGTTGGACCAGGCTCTAAGACTGGGTAATTGTAGTTGTCTGAGAATACTACTTGTATATCATCTCTAAGGAACTTAGTAAAAGAATGATAGATGACTGAAACAGTTTCATCGGGCAAGATTTCCAGCAGGGATCTACAAGTAATCCTAACTAGATCTTTAGTCTTCTTCAGTAATCACTCACTGGTTGTATGTACATTCAGCATTTCCGCAATCTCTAGAAGTCGCAGCGGGCGAGTTACATGCGTGATAAACTGAAGGATCAGTAATTGAAGCTCTGAGGGTACCTTTGAACGGCGGGCATGCTTCTGGAGTAAATCATCATAAATGGTGTTGAGATTCATGGAAAGCCCTTGAAGGACCCTGTGTACATCTGTGCCAGACTCCAGAAAGAGATCTACGGAGATCTTGGCAAATAGAAACATTCTCTTAGCCTGACTGCAAATTACTACTTGAATCTTGCTCTAATATTCTAAGGGAATCGACAAGCCGCGGAGCTTAGACTGAATATAAGTTGTAATATTGGAGTCAACCAGCCTTTCTTCCAATCGAATTTGCGGAATCAAAAAGGATTGCAAAACCGTCTCCAATCAAGTAATTGGGCGTGAGGTCATCAGGATCTTAATATTCACTGGGCGCCATTGTCCAAGATCAACCAGATCTCTAAGAAACTCATCATTTCCTGGATTTATCTTATCTAAAGTATCAGTCACACAATAGGCCAAGGCAAGACTGTGTAGTATTATTCTCAGATTACTCCAGAGATTGACCAGTGAGAAAGTATTGAGGAAGCATTTGTCTTTGATATATTAGTAGAGTTTGGCTTGTAGTGGAGGACTGTAGTCCAACACTTAATACAGCCAGTCTCGGAGCGCCATGATAGGCTTGTGATTAGTATTAATAATCTATCAGAAGAAACAATAAAGTACAGGAACACCAGTCTCCTGCAGCTGGTTAATGATTACAGTTACTATGATGGACTTACCAGAGCCCGGGTTATCTTTAATCTATAGTAATCTATTCTCTTCCGAGAGCCAGTGCTGATATATTAAAATGGATATGAGCTAAGTACCAGTTCCGAGAAGATAAGAGACATGATATTTAGAGTATTTATTTTATTCATAGTTATAAGAAGTCGGCTGAAGCTATTTGATAATATTAGCCAGCTCTTTAGCTGGTAGAGAAAGTATATTAGCTAAGTTAAAACCTTGGACGTCTTCTGGCCGTACTAGAATGGTGTCGCTGTCAGAGTCTACTAGAGACATGATTCGAAAATTACATTTTCTGGTAGATAAACAGAGCGAGAAATGGGAGAAAGGGGAGGAGACAGGGTAATATTAAGACTATTAAAGTGAAAGTAGTGGGCAGTGCATGGTAAGTACTAGAGTCGAAGACATGTAACTAATATAAAATTTTGGATATCTTACTGGCCTAGGATAACGTGGATGTCCAGTCTAAATTAGCTGATTAATTTATTTATCAGCCATGTTAACATACCTCTAGTACTTTAGCTGGCTTCAGTAAATAATTATCTTTCTAGACATGATTAATTAATGAAAATTCAAGCTATTTAATATACACTCGAGGTAACTTATTCTACTCCAGCAGGGATTTCTCTCTTTATTATTTTTTTTTAACTTCTTATAGATTATTATGTACTAAATCTCTTTTCTGAAGTGCTTCTTGTTCAAAATTATCTGTATTAGAAAGATCTGCCGACGGAGCTAGTATTAGAGGTGATGTAACTGGCAGGATATGAGCTTCTGGTATAATTTAATAAGTTACAGAACCCATTCCGTCTGTTTACTGATTACGGCTCATACTAACAGTCTTACTGGTATAACTGGTTCAATGACCGGATAGTTAACACGACAGGATAACTCGAAGAAATGAATGTTTTTATCTTTTACAGTTATTTGGCGGAGATTGTGAAAGAATAGCAAAAAGCTGGTTATTATACTAGTAAAGAATTATTATATTTTAAAGAAGAAATATACTAATCTTTAAGAAGCCTAGTCTTGATCTGCTCAGCCTGGTCTTGATTTATTTAATTTCAAAGATTTACTAGTTCACCAGCTTAACCAACAGCTTATAAAGTATAACTGGGGTCTTGTATTATATTTGGGGGCTTATAAGTCAGTTAATTCAGCTGATGAGGATAGTATATATAATATAATCTATGATAATATTAATCCTGTCTTCAGTTTACTTTATCTTAATAATATCTTAGTAAGTATTATACCAAGAGAGTCCACCTCATTCCTTATAACAAGCCCGGTAGCATCGCGACACAGATAACTTGATGCAGTAAAATAATTAGAATCTCTAGTATTAGCCAGCCCTCTTTATCTAGAAAGCAGTTATTATTTACAGTACTATACCAGCTAATTATTCCACAACTCTGAAATCATTTAGTAAATTACAAGTCTCCATAACTACATAGGTATGTTAATCCCAACCACCCGGTCTGGCTTTCAAGGGTTAGGCCATGCGTGTGCTCATTATAGCAGTAGACAATGCCTATAAAGTCATAACTAAAACAAAAGACATGACTAAATCTGAGTATAGAATTCTGTATAATTTCAACAGCTACTAGAGTGGATGATAATAATAATTATTCATATACTGACCTCTTACTTAAATAACATGCAGGATCCACTATCTACATCCTCTATGTATATTCATAGAACATGAGCGATTACTTTTCCAATGATTTTAGATTCTTATTAAGGTCTGTGGTGGCTGGTACCTGTAGTTATATTCTGCTACTTTATAGCACGCAACCTCAGAATCTCTATGGTGTCTCCGTGAAATCCAGTACTATTCTAAGAATACTACTATCTAGTAGAATATCTTGTAATCTATTTATTTTATAGCCTATTTCTTCTAAAATATTTATTGAATTATAAGATATTTCTCTGATCTTATACTGTAGTTCCTATTATCATATACTTAGTTACAGGCATTATATTAGTTAATATATATATAATCATCTCAGTTGCTCTGTATTATACTGCTTCTCTTCTTAGAAGTCTATTATTTGCTATATATTACCAACTATGAAGGTTTAATGCGAAGTTAAGTTAGTAGATATATTCAGTTTAAGAAGATAAATTTTACAGATAACAGGATTTGATTAAAATAATATAGATATAATTTATATTTGAAGATTCTTTATTCTTATTTCTGCTCTTAGTAGATCTTATTATGTATGGAATATTTTTTTCATAAGAGAAATTATATAGATAAGTACTTCTTTTCTATATTTATTATATTCTTAGCTAGCTGGTCAGCTATTATATTTCTAGAATTATTATAATAATAGAATTTCTCAGGCTTTCAGCTCGCCGCCTGAGTAGTAGATAGTTGTAATAATATACTAGTTTATATTGTTCTATGAGTTTTATATTTCTGAGATCTATTTTTCTAAGTCTTGGGTCTGTGCTTTCTCTCAGTCTGGTTTAATCTTAATCTTAACAAAAAATTATATCCGCCAAGGTGCTTGTGGCCTTGGGTTGATGGCTCCAGGCTTGATACTACAAGTCTATAATATGCAGGGTGCAGCTAACGGAAAACGTGTCCATTACTTCCAGTTTCTGATTGTTTCTAGAGCCCTAACCTGACTACACGTTAAACGAGTCTTAGAACGGAGCAGGAAATAGCTAGGTCGTGTACTTTGTATATAATAATAATCACCGTGTTTTATATTAATTTATCTAGTGCTGTTTTTGATACTCCAAATGAATATTCCCCGCATTAGTAACAGCTTCTATCATTCTAGACAATTATTATTTTCTATATCGAAGAATTCAGCACGGAAGCCTTTTACTATTATATACCAGAATCATCGAACTCTATATCAATATGTGGTATGGGAAAGATATTCTTCTTCTTCTATTTATACATGTCGGTCATTGGCAGTCCCCCGCGGTCTCTGCAGTCTCTTGGCAGTCCCCTGCAGTCTTTGGGCGGTCCTCTGCGGTCTTTGGACCTCCTTGTGGATCTAGACAACCAATCAACAGTATAGCATCCTAGAAAAAGCCGAACATTAGACTAGTAGCATCTTTTCTCCAACAGTTAGAAAAGTCCTGTAAGTTCTCTTCCTTCTTAGTCTCCATAATCTTTTCTTTCTATTTCTCAGTTTTAAAGAAAATTTTATTCTTATAGAGAGTATCTCTCTATACAAGAAAAGTATTTAAGAAAGGAGCATAATGATGCTGAATAGAGAGAAGATAAGTTTAATCCTATTAGTAAAGATAAGGAAGATCTGGCTCTAGACTAAGATATATATATTTCTAATACGGCTTCTAAAGAGCCAATTTTACGTGCACTAGAAAAGAGGAGAGTTGCTAATATAAAAGATCTATTAATTGAACTAGACAAGAGCAAGATTCCTCTTCCTGATATCAGTCATCTACATGATGATACTGGAACCCAGCGACGTGCATCTGGGTATGTTTTAAAAAAGATCAAGACAGGACATGGATTTTGTATATATTTAGAACTTCCAGTACTAAGAAAAGACATCAGTCACTTGCTTGTAATCTTATAGTAGGGTTTAAAGAAAAGCTGAACAGATTTCAGAAGATAGAAAGGCAGTCTAGGCTCTTAAATAAAGAAAGAATAAATATTAAAAACAGTTTCTGTAATGCAGAAGAACAACTAGTAAAACTAAAACATAAAAGAATAAAGACTAGCCTTGTATAACTTATGTATATCAGAGATACAAGGCTGTTTGTTTTGTTTATAAGAACGCAGGACCGCACCAAACTGCAGTAGTGCGGTCTGGTACAGTCTGGTCCTTGGTCTTTGCGGTCCTTTCCAAGGCCTAGGTGGATTCAACCATCCACCTTGCTTTAGGTTACTCTCGTCCAGGCTCTTACTAAGAATTACTTCGAGACCAGGATTATACGTCTACTGTATATTATATTGTGTGGAAGTTGTTTCTCTTCAATATTAATTTGATAATAGCAGTTCTTCTTGGGCCAGCATATAAATCTCAGAGCCTTTGTCCAGGGCTACCCAAATGTCTTTCTAGAGATTTGGAACCAATAATATCTCCATCAAACAATTTTGAGCCTGTTTTCAGTAAAGGCAGGTCTCGGGGAAGATCTAGCTAGATTTGTGACCAAGAAGGTCCGGTGTACATGTATCACAGAAATTATATCTTGAAAATTTGACCGGGCTGAGAGAGATATAGAAGAGTATCATGAATATATATATCTCCTAATAGTGGTATTCCTAAAGCTTTGTATTCTAGTGCCTAAAACAGGTTTCTCTTGATCTCTGATGTTTTAACATAAGGCGCAATAAGCTATGAGAATATTATATAATATCAACTGGCAGAAGATGGTTCGTTTGAACTACTCATTATAAAAAATATTATCCTAGAATATTCAGATATACTAAGCTGGTTTATTATCTATTTAACTAGTAAAAGTAAGCCAGCTAGTATAACCAAGTACTGGTTTCATAATAGTTAAATCAGTAGAGCAGTGGCTGTGGCTTCAGTTGAAAAGTCAGGCAGCAGTTACAGGACCCGCTAGGACCTCCAGCATAGCCCGCAAGGCACTGAAACAGAGTAAGGAATAAAACAAATAAATAAACAAATAATAGATGATTCCCGGGCTGACAGGTTGTTGCTTTACTATATAAAGAAATATTAGATACCTAACACCTATCACACCTGACTAATCCATAAAAAATCAAATGACATATCCACAACTTCTTCTAATTTTCATCTTATAAGCAAATTAAACCCCACTATCAGCTTTACTCCTCTGCGTTTTACTCACAACGTCACGCACTACATTAGAAAACAACAGGCCTCTCAAAATGTTATCAATCCTCAAGCGTATATACCGACTACCTGAGCTACAACCAACACAGTCGAGGCCACTATGAGTGATTTGTCTCGGCCTTTCTCAATATAGAACAGATTCGCTCAAACGCGCACTTGAAACTCTTGAATTTAGCAAAGTAGCACATGGCTTGGAGTAATAACTTCATCATCCAGATTATAGTGTCCTCTATTGCGAATTATTACTACTGAAGTTACAAAACCGTATGCCAAGCCCAGAGATTATTCAAGAATGCTATTTTAATCAACTTCTCGGCGACATGGATGCTTCTACAGATGTTCCTACAGTTTGGTTTACAAGTGAACTTCTCCAAGTATACCCCAGCGCCAAAGTTATTCTGAACTGCCGTTATAATATACATGCTTGGGAAAAGAGCTTCCGCGAATCGGTATTAGTAATAATACAAAGTTAGCTATATTGGATTACTAGTTGGTTTAACGGAGAATTATTTTGGGGAGTGTGGCTGACTTGTCTCAGACACTAAATACTTCTTTTCAAAGGTGACTTCGAAAAAAATGCCGAGAAATCATATCAGGACCACTACAAGGGTTTAAAGTTAATCTTGAAAGCCAATAACTGAGATTATCTTGATTGGTCTGTGGATGATGACTGGTTAGATCTCCTACACTGCAGTTGCTCAAGCTATATATAGCCTCCAATTACAGGGCACCTCTCTGCAGCTTCCTTGACCTACCGGTGCCAGATGCAGAATTTCTGAGAGGTAACATTGCCTCTGAATTTATCTCCAAATTGATGACTGTGGATGAAGGACAGATATAAAAAGCTAAATGTAATCTTTTACTCTGTTTTTCTTTGGTCGTGATAGTTGCGGCTGGATGCTGGTTGTTTTGAACTTGAGAGATACTGTCTGATTCTAGCGCAGTTATGACTTTATTAGATAAACACTAGCACATCTCCTAGTCCCATTATCTCTGCTTATTTCAGATCATGCCAGTCTTGTTGTCGCGGCTATGCGAAAGACTCAGGCCTAAGATAATAATCTATTCTGTTATTCTCTGCTGGTATCATAATCACTGTTTTGTCAAACCCTAGGATCGCTTCCCTGTCCCTGTTAGCTTAGCTTCACTGGTATACGTACCGTCGAACTGGATCGAGGAGGTATCAGGCTGATAACTATCTAAGGATAACTGGTCTTGGACAAGAGAAGAGAAGTAAGGCTAAATAATGTCATATAATTATTTATAAGTAAGTACAGACGAGTATTCTATTACTAAGCTTCTAAATATATGATTACTTAAAGATAATATTATTGAGTACAAAGAACAAAACTAGTTAAATATATAAAAGAATATTTTTATATATCTTATTCTCTGTATACCACATTGTATACTATTCTGGGTAGATTAATAATTAATTTAATTATAGTCCAGAGTCTCAGTATACCTTAAGTATATCTTTAATAATAGATATGATAATAAATAATTACATGATGCGTGGCTGTTCTGGGCATTATAAAGATAATCAGGAATTATATTAAATAATAATTTAATTTTATCTAAATACTGCTTTTATCAGTGTTTTCTACTTAGTAAGTCTATCTTACTAGTAGATTAACTAGTAGAAATTTATAATATTACTTTTCTTTCTTTGAGATTTCTTATTCTTAAAAAATATAAAAATATATATTCTTTATATATATTAATTAAATTCCTTAGTTTCTTTTCTTTTTCAGGATAGGTCAACATGTCTCACTGTTATATTAACCATGACCGAGTAAAAGAGCGCATTTGTTAATTTAATAAGATTTAAAAAAATAATTATATTATTAAAAATTTCTGTAAATACTGCTTCTTAAAAGATATTCCTTATATTATGAATTTAAAAAGCTGAAACTGTGCTGTTTATATTTATTATAATTAGAGATGCAAGAAGCGGTTTTATAATAATAAAAAATAAAATAACTTAAAGTAAAATTAATTAAAAGTATAAAATAAGCTTACTGAGATTCTAATTAAGTAAGTTTATATTTCTGCTAAAATAACTTATTTATTTAAATAATAATAATTCTTAAAGAATCATGGTAAGCAGATACTAGATTATAATTTAAATATATTAGAATAATTGGATGAGGAGGATCCTCTAAGTATTAAAGATTTTTAAAAATTAGAGTATTTAATTAATAAGTATAATATTATTTAACTTACTATTATATTAGATAATTCTAGTTTAATTTAATTAGTTAGTTTTTTTTTCTTTTGGGTGAATTTTAACCTGGCTGCTGGTAGTACTGTTCTATAAGCTGGTAATAGCTTATTAAATTCTTAATAAGTTTTTATATATTTTCTGAGGTATTATAATCTTTTTATTTTATTAAATAATATAATTTATTATTAATTTTTTTATAGTCTAGAATCTTTTTGACTTTATATTTTTATTTAGTATTATTATTAATTTTTATATTTTTTGCGATTCTAGCGTTCTTTGGTGCAGGTTCCAGTAATAAAATATAAAATATTAAATAAATTTTATTTATTAATTTTAATAATTTTAATTTATAATTAACTGATTTTTTCTTTTTCTTAATAATGAATGGTCTTAGTTTATAGTAATTAAATTTCTGACTTAATTATTTTATTTTAATATTTCTGTAAAGTAGGAATACTTTCTTTTTTTTTTTAAGTTAAATTTCTTTTTATATTAATAATTATAGTAAATTTTACTTTATAAATTCATGAATTCAATATCTCGAGATAACTAAATATATATATTTTTTATAAATATTATAATATTTTTAATTATATCAGTAACTAGTTGCTTTCTTATCAGTATTTCCAGGAATCTTGGATGATAATCATAGTTAGTATAAAATAATAAGACTCTGATTATTAAATAATTAGTATTATTATATAAGAACTATATTATAGATAATAAATTTATTTAATTATTTTATTAATAGTTTATATAGTATCTTAAATATTATTTAATTATTTAATTAATTCTTTCTGTTTATCTGTTTATTTATAGATAATAAGCTGTTGTCATTTATTCTTTAATTTTTATAAGATTAGTAAGTAATCTTTAAAATTTTAAGATAAATAATTTATCTTTATTTAATATAATATATTTTAGTATTCTATGATTTATAATAATATTTTCTAAAAATAATTCTATTATTTATATTACTGTCATTGTTATTTAGCTTGGTACGAGATGGATGTATTTAGTGAAATAATTAATAATAACTGTAATAATATTATATTTCTTTGATTTAGATAGTAGATTAATAAAGTTAATTATTATTTATTTTTATAATTATTATAATATTTTTTATATTTATATTTATTTATAAGATTAGTGCCTCGCGGGCTTGTTTCTAATATATATTTTATACTGTTCCATGTAGTCGCGTACTTTTTATCTGAGATTTAGAATATAATAATTTTTAATAATTAATTTTATAGTTTTTTTAACTTCTAAGTATTCTTTGAGTAATTTATTATAGTATATAGCTATAATCTCTATTCTTATATTAATTAGTATAAAAATTAACCTGTAGAAGTAAATTAATTTTTTTTTATTAATAATAATTTTATTTAGTAAATCTTTATTCATTTTTTGGAGTGCTTTGTTATTTTTAGTAATATTAGCTAATTACTTGGTTAGGTCACTGCTTATTTCTAATATTATTATAAGATTAATTTTATTATAACTGATTAATTTATCTTTATTTTATTTTAAAATAACTAGTTTAATAGTCTTTTCTCCTATTTTATAATCTGGTTTATAATTAAATATATCTATATATCCGTTTTCCATTTCTTTGCAGTGGATAATATAGAAATTATATTATAATAAGATTTTTATTTATCTTACCTATCTTTTTATTAATTTTTTAATTATTATAAAATAGATTAAGTTTTTATAATTTATTTTTATAATAATAATATATTTTACTTCTTTAAGGTAGACCCTCTATTGCTTAAATATTATTATTATAGCTAACAGTTTTTTATTATAAATATTATAATTAAGTTCCGCCTGAACTAATTTTTTTAAGTAAAATATAATTAATCTAGATTTTCTATTATCTCCTGGCTGTGTCATATGCATGTTAATAATATAATTTAATATATTAGTTTTAATAGTGGTTTTCTTTTCTGGATTATGCTGCACTAGTATTGGTGACATAGTAAGTCAGTGTTTAATATTTTTAAATATATATTACTATAGTTTTTTTTATTTATATTCTTTTATTTTCTTCATAAGCTCGAATAGTGGTGTCATATAAATAATATATTTATCTATAAATTATTAATAATAATTAATTAATCTAATAAACTGTTATAGTTTCTTTAAATTCTTAGATTAAGGCTAGTTCTGAATAATTTATATTTTAGTTTATTTAATATAGACTTTTTTTATAAATATCTAGTATTCTAGAAACTCTGTCTTTTATATATAAAATTTATATTTTTTGAGTTTATATTATAGCTTGTATAAATATAACTTATATAGAATAAATTTTATATATCTAATATATTCTTTCTCGGTTTTCGAGAAGATCAGAATATTATTTAAATAAATAATTATAAATTTATTAAAATACTCTCCCAGTACTTTATTAATATATTACTAGAATAATACAGGCGCGTTAGTAAGCCTAAATAATATAATTAAATATTTATAATATTTATATTTTATTTTAAATATAGTCTTCCATTCTTCACCTTCCATAATATATATATAATAATATATATTAATAATATTAAGTTTAGTAAACTATTTTATTCCTTGTATCTTATCTTGGATTTCTGAGATTAAGGGTAAAGGGTACTAATTCTTAATTATAATTATATTAAATAACTAGTAATTTATATATAATTATAGACTGCTGTTTTTTTTTAGTATAAATAAAATTCTATATTCTATAAATAATTTTAATAGTCTGATATTATTTTTTATTAATTAATTATTAATATATTTTTATAATATCTGTAATTTCTTCTTAGATATTAAATAAATTTTTTTATATACTAGTAATTTTTCTTTCTCAAGGAGAATAGTGTGGTTATATTTTTTATATTAAAATAATTTAGATTTTTCTAATTATTTAAATAAATTCTTAAATCTTTTATATTATAATAGGACGCACGGGTTGCTCTTAATTATAATTAAAAATTCTTATAAATTTTTTAATTTTATATTATTATTTTTAGATTTCTATTTTTCCTGAGTCTCTGTTAACTCTGTATTATTATATTTAGATCTATATTTATTTTAAGTTTTTTAATTTATATTACTAGATTTAGATTCTTACTTCTGAATCTTAGTCTTTATATTATTATTTTTATATTTCTGCACCTGTGACTTGCTTCTCGAGTTAATATTATTAATATGATACTTATAATATTCTTTAATTATTACTGATATTTATTCTAGTAATTTCTTGAGCTAATCTTATTATGCTGGCTTAATTATTATTATTATTTATATAATAATATTCAAGATGCTATTTTTCTTTAAGTTTTTTTTAATATTTAGTATATTAAACTTTTATAATATTTTTAACTTTTTTATAAATTACTTAGTTCTTACTCCAGTCTCCTGCTAGCTAGCAGGTTATACAGATCCAGATTCTATATTTAATTTTTATTAATATTATCTTAAATAAATATAATTAGTGAATTGAAGACTCTCAGTCTTTTAATTAATTTATAAATTATAATTTCTGAGTTATAGAATCTTTAATATAATATTATACTGTTTCAATAATATCACGTTGAAATTTATATATTCAAAGTAATCTATTATAGTCATAA